AAGATTTGGAAGAGTTACAACTTCGAGCGGCAGGGACCATACATTTATGTCTCGCAGATGAGATTATGTATCATGTTATGAATCTGAAATCTCCAGGAGAAGTATGGAAGAAATTGGAATCTCAGTTTATGTCCAAATCTCTGACGAATAAATTGTATCTGAAGCAAAGGCTGTATGGGCTGAAGATGCAGACGAACACTGATTTGGTTCAGCACCTGAATGTCTTCAATCAAATAATCACGGATCTGGCACGGCTTGATGTGAATATTGAGGATGAAGACCGAGCAATGATTCTTTTGTGCTCATTTCCTACTTCTTATGAACGTCTGGTCACTACTCTTACATATGGGAAAGAAACAATTAAAATTGATGAGATTACTGCAGCATTGTTGGCTCACAACCAGCGGAAGCAGAATGCAGAGGAAAACTCTCATGGTAACTGTTTATATGCTAAGTGTAATCAAGATCGTGAAAGTAAGGAGGAGAAGGAGAACTCTGGAAGGCAAAGTTCCAGGTCAAAGCCTAAAGACAAGAAGATTCATTGCTTTAATGTGCAAGGAACAGGGACATATGAAGAGAGATTGTCCAATGCTCAAAAAGAAGACTCGAGATGTATCTTCCAGGGCTGTGAATATGGTGCAGAGTGACATTACAGATTACGGTGATGGTAATGCACTTTCAGTTACAACAACTCAGTTAAAGGATGGATGGATTCTTGATTCAGGATGTTCTTATCACATAACACCTAACAGGGAGTGATTCACTTCATACAGGTTATCTGATTATGGTTCAGTCTATTTGGATGATAATAGACGTTGCAATATTGCTGGTATTGGTAAAGTCAGAATTAAGATGTATGATGATACTGTTAGAACATTATGTGATGTCAGACATGTTCCAGAGTTGAAGAAGAATTTGATTTCCTTGGGCACTCTACACAGAAATGGTTTCATTCCTAAGGCAGATGAGGATAGGGAAATCATCGGAATTGTTAAGAGTGCACTGACTGTAATGAAAGGGAAGATCACTGTAAGTAACATCTATAAGCTGATAGGGAGTACAGTTGCAGGTGGAGATCGCTCTGTTGAATCATATGGTGAAAATGCAACATGAACTTTGACCAAGTCAGATTAGATGGTTTGGTTGCCCAACCCACTTTGTTAATAAAGTGACTCCATGAAATTTTTCTCCTAAGGGGCAGGATATTCAGAAGGTGGAGATTTTTTCTCCTAAAGGATTGGATATTCACAAGGTGGAGATTTTCTTCTAAAGGGGCTGAATATTCACTAAGGTGGAGATTTGTTTGGTAGGCGCATATACCGGGTGATGCATATCTCCTAAGGTGTTGGATATTCGCCAAGGTGGAAAATTGTTAGGTATGACTCTAGGGAGTTGGATTGGAGTTTTTTGAAATGAAGAGGTGTGTCTCTTGGTAAAGAAGTGCGTCTCTTGGTGAAGATTTCTGTCTCTTCATATGGCGTGATTGTAATTTTATCTAATTTTATCTGAGAGTTCGTATATGTCTATATATATGTGTAACCCTATGGGATGTATAGTAACTTCTCTGAAATAGTGGCTCCCGAGCTCGCTCCCGAGGACGTAGGCAATTCTTCGCCGAAACTCGTTAAATCTCTGTGTTCCTCTTCTGGATTTGTGTCGATTCCTGTTTTATTCCGCTGCAATTTCCACAACATTAAAATCTAACGTTCTATTTGTGTTTGTATCATTGAAATCTTTAATCTAACTCTGAAAATTTTTATCTTCCATTGTGACAGCAGGGGATCACAATCCAGCACCTACCTGCAGCAGCCCGCTCTCCGGCAAACCCTCAAACCACTTCATCCTGGCTTTTCTTCATCACCGGCAGCTCCATCTCACTGTTCCAGCAAGACTCCTAGTAGGAAGAAGTTAACGAAGTAGGATGCCGTGCTATAACAAAGTCTGATTTTGAAAATTTAGGTGTTTTATATATAAATAATTAGTTTAGGTGTGATTTATGTAAATAGGCATGTGTTGAGTGCCGTGCATGTAAAAAGCCCTTCATTTTTTTTGAATCAATCATTCTAAATTCAAATTCAAGTTTATTCGGAGTCTCAATTTTAATAAATTTATAATCAAACTGGTCGTCTCAACAAGACAAACCCAATGATATCAAAGTTGGGCCAATCCTGATTCAATCAAGCCTAGATCAAATTAATTGTGCTCATTTGGAGGCATAAGATTCTACGTTGACCGGTTAAAATGAGATCCAAATTTGATGTATTTATAGCCAAATCGAGCATGTCGACTAAAGGAAGCCAACAAACCTATGATTGCTAAATTATAAAGTCATTAAGAAATTCAAATTTTTTTAAAAAAATTCTTACGATTAAGAGGACTCAATATAAACCGTATAATTAAGTGGTCGGGAAAGTTATTTGCTAAAATTTCAAAATGCCTCTCTAAAATGCTATAAATTGACCCCTTCTTTTCACTTGGAAGGGGAAGCAGAATAAGAAGAATTTAGAGCCTATTATAGATAGAAGTCCCAAAGATAATCATCAACCACCATAGCTGATGAACACCGTCGAACACTGATTGCCAGCGTGGTCAGCCATCGACCGTCAACCCCCACTATCAGCCACCACAGTTGACCCTTATTTACAAACGTCATTGCCTAAATACAACTGTTATGCCTAACACCTTTATTGAAGAACCGACGAGTAACCATAGGCTTCTATTGTTGTCAACCACGGTCGATCATTACTGATCGTCATCGCCTTCTGCCGATGACCTCTATTTGCAAGCATCATTGTCTGAATTTGGTCGTTGTGCCTAACACATGTCTTAAGGGCCCGACAAGTAACGACCAGCCTCCGTCGCTGCCGATCACCACCCGTCAGTCAGTATCGACCATTGCTAATCATCATCGCTCAACACTTCTAACCATCGGTCACCGACCACCCATTTTTTGTAAATGTCGTAGTTTGAATATGGTTGTTCTGCTTAACACCTGTATTGAAGACCCAATGAGTAACTATTAGTCATCATCATTAGCTTTTGGTTGTCACCACCGGCAGCTGGCAAGCCATGTTTGCAAACGTCGTAGTTTAAATATGGTTGTTGTGCCTAACACATTTATCGATGACTCGGCGAGTGACCACCAACCTTCATAGTCGCTGATCATCGTCGTTTAGCAATATCACCGTCGCTGCCCCCCACTAGCAACCACCAGTCATCGGTGACCTATGTTTGTAAGCATCAAAGTCTTAGTACGATTGTTGTGCATAACACATATATTGAAGATTTGACAGTGCCCAATGGCTTCGGTAGTCACCATCGCCGAACACCGCCTATCGACCATTGTCGGCCATCACCATTAGCTGTTGTTGACCAACGACGACCCATGTTTGCAAACATTGTAATTTGATACGACTGTTGTGCCAAACATATATATTGAAAACCTGATGAATAACTACCGACTTCCTCGTAAGGTAATGCTGGCCATTGCCTGCTACCACCGCCTCTTCTGCTTGTAGCCGTTGTATTTTAAATACAACTATTATGCCTAACACATGTATTGAGGACCTCGCAAGTAACCATCGGCTTCCATAGCCGCCAGCCATCTTCAACTTCCACTTGGGAACCATCGTCAACTACCATCGGTCATCAATGTCGACCATTGACCGTTAACTACCACTACTTACAACCATCATTATCTAAATATGACCTTTATAACCAAGTATCTCTCTTACAACAATCAACTAAAACCTTTGTACCTAACTAATACTGGTAAATGTTGAACGATGGGAAATGTTGAACGATGGTGAAGATCAAAGCATCAATAAGATTTATATAACAGGTCAACAACTAAGAAAATGAATATTTTCAAAAATTAGTAATATTACAATTATTTATCGATAATATTTATTATTTTTATTTTACTTTTATTTTTCACCTTTAATTATTTTATAGATAAGAAGATTTTGTGTATTATTTAAGCAAATTCATTATACAAGTTAGGATCATATTACTATATCTGTAACGACGCACTTTAAAAAAATAATAAAAAATAAAATAAAAACAACAACAACTAGGGAGAACAGCTGCATGAATCCTTCTTCTCCCTGTGCTCTATTGAGTGTAATATTTTCAATTAATTCTAAAAAATTAAGATCATTTTTTATATAATACGCTCACGTCTGAAAAATGTGACCGAAACATCTAAGATGACTCTCTCTAATATTGTCTGTCCCTGAAACTACAACAACTCGTTTGACGAATACATTCTTTTTGCATTTAGTTTCTAAGTATCAAGCCACTCATCCACCTAAGCATTCTTATCTCAACAACACTTAAATTAGTCTTTTGCTTCTCTTTTAAGGTCAATAGAGCTAAAATGAAATTAAAAGTGCCATCTCAAGCTCCATTAGACTTGCTAAACAAATCATTTTTATTTTTAAAAGCACATTTGTTTATTTTTCAAAAAAAAAAAAAATGTTAATAAGAATTCTCGAACAAAATTTTAGAGGTTTTAAGTATTTCTACAGACAATTAAACATTATTTAATTTAGTAAACATATCTTATTTCAAATTAAAACAAAAAGTAGAACAATTTTTTTTAAAAAAAAAGTGATTTTAAAAGTCCTCCTAACTGTGTTGATACTAATTTATCTACCGCATCATTTGGGTATAAATAGCAATGAGAAAATAAACAATAAAATTTTTTTTCCAATTTCTCTTTTTCTATAGAATTAACTATATATATATATATATATATATTTGAAGTATGGATATAACACAGTCTAATTTGAGTTGAGCTTCCATTCCATATGCTGAATTTGATTTTACACACTAGCTAATAGATGTTGGCATAATAAAAAGTGAACCTCATGTTAATCAATAACAGTCATCAAGGGCGTATAAAAGAGAAGTTAGAGTAGACATAAAAAAGATTTATGAATGAACAACTTGGGTTTAAAAATTGTGGTCGTCTGCTCCTCCTCCTCTACTCAACTTTTTTATATTATCTTTGGTTCCTCAACTGGATGCACAATGAAGCTCCTGGGATTTTTGGTGTAGTTGAGCCTCAAACTTTCCTTATTGCGGACAACGATGTGGTCAAAGTGCTGGAATATTTTAGACACCTCATCACCTTCATTTTGTCCTTCCAGGCATATCTTCCTCACCAATTCCTCCTTGCATACTATTGCCAAGAAAAATGCTTTTAATCTGCTGTCGTCGCCATATTCATCATCGGTGGGAAACCAAACTGGAAGAGAGTCGGCATTGAAATCTTCCCAATCAATGAAATGCAAACGATGATTAAACTTCACAGACTTAATTCCTGCGCAGTCCGCTATACTCATATCTTGTAGTGCTGGAAGTCGAGAGATTCTCTCCAGCTTGGGGATGTTTTGAAGGATAAGTAGTTCCAAACGAGGGAGTTTGTGTACCACTTTCAGGGGGAGTTCTCTAGTCAGGTGAAGTTTTCTAGTCTTGTATATTCTTATTTTTTTCAAAGACTTAGCCGCATGATGTAGGAGTTCTCTGGGAAATGACTTGAGTTTGGGGCATTCAGAAATTATTAACTCCTCCAAATAAGGCATCATAGGCATGGCATTCCCCGAACTACTCCACTCCTCCCAGCTATCCATTTGTATAAACATCAACACCTTCAGTCTCGGAAAGACTGCACGATTCTCTATATTACTTTTGTCGTTGCCTAAATAGAATGCTGGTCCAATGCTCTTTATTGATGATGCCCCTATTATGGTAAGTGCTTCCAAGCTGGGCAACAATCCTAAGCCATTAAGCTGCTTAAAATATTTACAATTAGAGATTTGCAAGAGTGATAGAAAATTAAATGAAGCATGTCCCAGCCAATTCGGTAGCTTGCTCCCATAATAATTCTCAACAACAAGAACTTTTAGTTGGGGAGGAGGACAAAGATCCTCAAAAATCTCCTCGATTTTATCGGCAATTTCTTCCACTTGTGTATAATTCATCAGCACTTGATTAGAATCACTTTCTGAGCAACACAATTTGAGAGCTTGAAGGTGATTTTTGTCTTTGAGAGCAGCACTTTTTGCTTGTGACCTGTCCAACACCCTTTCCAGCTTGCACAAAACTAATTCTCTGATAAACAATCGGCAAGATTCGTTAGTTAGATTGTTATTTTTATACCCATATTTTAATAAAATTACTTTTTCAAGTCTGCGCAAATAGTTAGTTCATGGAACAATTTAAATACCGATTAATACACAATACAAACCTCAGTTCCGTGAGTGCCCCCAACTCCTTAACAGTAGATGATTTTTCCGTAACTTCCTCCAAAGGCATAATGAACTCCAGATACTGCAGTTCGTTCAACCTTCCCAATCCAGGTGGAAGATGGGTCAACCCAGAATCTTCAGTAACTAGAGAAGATAGACAGTGCAACTTCATTATGCATGAGGGAAGATCACAAAGGTTCACACACTTAGAAACATCAAGAGCCCTCAGATTTTTGAGGTTTTTGATGGTTCTAGGCAGCTCCGTTATAGGAGTGTTTGACAGGTTTAGATATCTGAGGTGCTTGAGGGAACCCAGGGATTCGGGCAAGCTTGAAACATTAGTGTTTCTAAGCCATAGTGTTCTCAGACGACGAAGATGATTGAAAAGCTCATTATCAATTTTACAAATGGATTTATCAAAGATGAGAAGAGTCCTCAACGATACATGTTCTTCTAGGTTTTTTGGGAGGATGTTCATGGTTTTGACGCCGCCACCAATAAAAGAAAGACGTCGTAGCCTCATTGTCCTTCCACTGAATCTATTGTTTAAAATTTCTTCCCCGGTAGCTACAAGGCTCTCATTTTGCATTAGAAACTGAGTGAGTGAGTAAACAAGGTCATGCATTCTAAGGAAGGCGGGAATGGGAGTTGGGCTATCTGGCTTGACCATTAGGAGGTTTCTCTGTAATAGACTCCAAATATAACTATTTGCAACCTCATGCAATGCTGTATACGTGTCTTCTTTGATGAGCCCTTCCTGGATCCAAAGGTTTTGAGCGTCCACAATATAAAAACAATCGTCTTTAGGAAACAAGGAACAATACAAGAAACATTGCTTGATATTCGAAGGCAAATTGATATTCGAAGGTAAGTTTTGGTAACTTATATATAAAGCCGAGTGGATTTCCTCAGGAAGCCCATTCACCTCCCACGCGCTGCTCTTGAGAACCAACTTCCAGGCTTCCCAGGCTTCTTTTGTTCTCCTCTCCGCGGACAGCATTCCACCTATGATATTGATCGCTAGCGGCAGTCCATCACATTTTTTGACAAGCTGCATTCCAATATCTCTGAGATTCCATACATCATCCATTGCTTCCTGCTGCTGCCAATCTGGGAAAGCTGACTTGCAGAGCAGCGACCATCCATCTTCCAGAGGGAGCGGCTCCACTAGAACGGCATGTATAGCCATCATCTGATACGCTACCTCCTTGTTTCTAGTGGTGACCAGAACCCTGCTTCCTTTTGCGGTGCCGCTCTTGAGCAAGCTTCTCAACACGCACTTCCACACCCTCTCAGTCTCCCACACGTCATCCAACACTATGAATAGCCTTTTGCCTTGCAGGCTAACCTTGACCTTCTCACAGAGCAAGTTTAAATTGTGACACTGCTCATCGTCTCCACCAGCAGACCTGATGATGCTTCTCAATATATCAAACACATCATAATTCTGGGACACACAGACCCAAAGCGTTAGATCAAAGCAGTTTTTGATCGTGCGATCATCAAATACTAATTTAGCTCGGGTGGTTTTGCCAATCCCTCCCATCCCGACGATGGCGCACACAAGAGGATTGTCACGGTCATCATGTTTAGTCAACGTCTCAACTAAGCGCCAAACATCATTATGTATTTCAAGGCCAACTATATCTGTACGAACCACCGAAGAATGCGTCATGCGAGCAGCCAACTGATTGCGTGCTGCTTGGTTAGGATCAATGGTTGAGAAGGTTCTGATAAGCTGTAATCTGGGTATTTGGCCCATAATTTCTTTCAACCTGCTATTAAGCTCTGCAATCTGGACACCAACGGTATGTTTGGACGCAGGCTTCCTGAAGGGAAGCAGGATAGAGCGGCATACCTCTTTATACGACCGGTGATGGGCAGGAGTCGACGAAGAGCTGGAATCGTCGTGGGCGCCGCTTCTTGGGAGGTCGAGGACATGATAGTCGTCGAGCACATCCTCGATGTCGTACATGACATCCTTGATTTGGTTGATCCATCGATTTGTGGAAGCATCCTCGATTCTCTTCTTCTCAGCGTCTTGGAGAAAGCACTGAAGCTCTTCGAGGGTGAGCTGAAGCTTGTTCACATCGCCCACCAAACCCATCTGCATCGTTAACTCATCCTTTGTCATTTGGAACAGCATCTCCAGCAGCTTGGAAAGCAGGAAGTCGGCCATCATTGCCATCTTCTTCTTCCTTTGGTTGAGCTCAGTCTCTCCAGTCTGATAACCGGTTTTCTTTAAAGAGGCATCAAAAGGGTTTCCTGGTGCAAGGAATCAGGGAATAAAATTTGTGCGGCCCAAATTTTTTTGGAGATATAATATTGGATAAGTAGCCATAAATTTTAAAGGGCGTAATAGTTTTCGCCTCTTCACGTGCGATGCAATTATTGCTTTCAATAATTTGCAGGAATATTTAAAAAATGGACGTTCGCTTTTTCTTTTTCACATATATACATACTACCAAATACTTTTTTCTTCTTTATTTTTATTTTTTTTATGACATACTTACATACCACTAAATACCTATATATATATACGTATCTAACATCCAAATTTTATATTTTACATTTTAAACCGCCCAAATAATTGCGAAACCTCAATACTCTTATCTAATCAAATTTAGCCTGCACGGGCTCGCTCACGCCGAACGGAAGCCGTCGCACGATCCCTCTTTTCGCTCCTATAGGCCGAATATAAACTCTTACAACAAACCAAGCACTATAAGCCTTTGCGTGATCCCTCTCCTCTGTTTACGAAATCAACGCTGGCAACGTGCAAGCCTCGTTGCTTCTTCTGCTTCTTTTTCTTACCGCGAATCTGTTGAAGCCTTCTTCTTCCCTCTTCGAAAACCACAGTAACCAAAAACCTCCACTCTATTGTATTGTTCGCTCAAACAAAACGCCTGTACCGCGATCTCCCTTCTCCCCTGCTTCTTTCCCTTTGATCGCACAAACCAAACACCACTCCTCCCTTCAAAGTCTTTGTTCGATCTCCTCTCTGTCCTTGCTTCTGCCCTAGCCCAATTCTATTATGTCGAGTTTCCACACTTTTGCTCCAGCCCCAACATAACATTAGCCCAGCCCGATTAGTTCTGTCCTAGCCGAACCGAATCACTTTCCTCGGGTCAGAAATCCAATCTCCTCTTTTAATCCAGCCCGAGCTATGGGAAAATTAAGTATTGTTAGATGAAAAACACAGATTCATTTGGAAATTTTTTTAAATTGGGGCTTTAAAATAATTGTTCGTGGAAAAAGTAAGCACTCGTCCGTAAAGAATTGAGTTCTGATCATGTAAAGCAAATTGACATTCGGGAAATACTTTTGCTCCCCACCGCAATGTCTTACAACACTGACCTACTCTGTCTTTTAAGATAGCTCGGAAGGTTGACAACCTTTGGTGCCCTCAAACTGGGTTGATGTTGGGAGGCTGCTAGAATTTTCAGTTCTTTGGGCTTTTAACCACTAAAACATTTGAAATTTTGGACTTTTGAAATAAAATAAAAATATCACCAATTTAAATTTAAAAAATAAATCGTAAACTCGAGCTATCAAAATTTTAGGCTCTTAGGGTTTAAAATATCTGGAGATATGTGTGTTTAAATATTTTATGATCTTTAGGTTTTATTTTAAATTCTAAAGTGAGGGCTCTTTCTTGTTTTAAATAGACATTTTCACTGCATAAAATTTTGATTTTTAAAATTTAAAGCTGGTGAATTTGAAAGTAACTTAGAAAGTTTAGCTCTTCAGTCCAAACTCCTGGAGTTTAAATAAAAATTCAAAATTTGGGTTTCTCGTACTTAGGCTCCTAAGAGTAAAGCATAATTCACAAATGAAGTTTAAGCCACTGATAATGGACGTGTTGATCGAAGATTTCAACCGAAATGATTAATTTTTAAAATCAAGTTTTTTCAAAATAACCAACTAATATGTAAGCAAAATTCAATCACTTAAAAGCTAAAAGAAAAATTTATAAGCCATTCACAACAGCTTGTAGAGTGTGACAAATATTTGATTGACTTCAACTCACAAAGAACGAATGTTATATCAATTGTATAAATATATTCATAATCGAAGTTATTGCATGCCAGTAAGGATGTGGCCTGAGTTTCTTTGTTTGTGTGTTTTTACCACCAAATGACACCACAAAATAGAGGTTACAACCAGAGCTATCTGATTTAGAGACACTATCATAAATATACAATTGATTGTCAAAAATCATTATGTTAGCTAAGGTTGACATAAATTTATCCCCCTATACAATCCATCTCAAATCTACAAGGATCACTTGGACAACGCAACCCATAGCTGCTGACAAGAATCCTTCTGTCAGGCTAGAAAGACTACCTCACTTGACTAAATAGAGCATGGACCATAACGGTTCGAGATGACAGAACAATGAGATCTTGATTGGGTTTCATCTTTCATTCCCTCACCACCCGCTTTACGCTTCAAGTGATCAATTTACAATTTACAATCCCAAGTTTGCTCCTATTATATGCTCAATTTTCAATTCTTAGTGACTAGCTATAATCGAAAGTGCTCTTCCGTTATCCGAAGGGGTAATTACATAGGAGCTTGCGCCTATAGGAAACCTCGAATTCCAAATAAAAAATTCCTCGCTAAATGAGCTTTAAATCTGTAGGTCTCTTATCTATGATCCAATCTACCTTTTGAAAATTCGATCCTCTGAAGCTCTCTCTCAACAAAACAATAAAAAAAATGAGAGACTTCAATGGGAGCGGTCTTGAATTTTCGGAGCCCACAATTATATACCATCTCATCTATAAAATAGGATAATTGTTCTATGAATAAAGACACGATTGATCACAACTTATCATTATACATTCTCTGGATATAACATAATCTACTTTGAGTTGAGCTAAATGTGTATTCCATTTCATATGCTTGATATGATTCAGCACACTGGCTCATAGATATTAGCATAATAAAAAGTGAACCTCAAGTTAATCAATAACAGTCATCAAGGGCGTATAGAAGAGAAATTAGAGTAGAAATAAGAAAGATTTATGAATGAATAACTTGGGTTTAAAATTGTGGTCGTGTGCTCCTCCTCTACTCAAGGTTTTATATTATTTCTGGTGCCTCAAATGGATGCACAGTGAAGCTCCTGGGACTTTTGGTGTAGGTGAGCCTCAAACGTTCCTTATTGCATACAGCGATGTTGTCAAAATGTTGAAATATTTTAGACATCTCATCAGCTTCATTTTGTCCTCTGAGGCATATCCTGTTCACCAATTCCTCCTTGCATAATATTCCCAAAACAAATGCTTTTAATCCGTTGTCGTTGCCATATCCATCATCAGTGGGAAACCATCCTGGAAGAGAGTCGGCATTGAAATCTTCCCAATGAATAAAATCCAGATGTTGCTCGAGCTTCATAGACTTGATTCCGGGGCAGCCCACTATGATTAGATCACGAAGTGCTGGAAGTCGAGAGATTCTTTCCAGCTTGGGGATGCTGTGAAGGACAAGTAGTTCCAAACGAGGGAGTTTGTGTACCACTTTCAGGTGAAGTTTTCTAGTCTTGTATATTCTTATTTTTTTCAAAGACTTAGCCGCATGATGTAGGAGTTCTCTGGGAAATGACTTGAGTTTGGGGCATTCAGAAATTATTAACTCCTCCAAATATGGTATCATAGACACGGCTTTCCCCGAACTACTCCACTTCTCCCAGCTATCCATTTTTATAAACGTTAACACCTTCAGTCTGGGAAAGAATGCACCATTCGCTGTACTGCTTTTGTCGTTGCCTGTGTAGAATGCTGGTCCAATGCTCTTTATTGATGACGCTCCTTGAATAACAAGTTCTTCCAAGCTGGGCAACAATCCCAAGCCATTAAGCTGATTAAAACATTTACAATTAATAATACATATAGAAAACAGAAAATTAAATGAAGCATGTCCCAGCCAATTTGGTAGCTTGCTCCCATAATAATTCTCAATAACAAGTACTTTTAGTTGGGGCGGAGGACAAAGATCCTCAAAAATCTCCTCAATTTTATCGGCAATTTCTTTCAGTTGTGTATAATTCATCAGCACTTGATTAGAATCACTTTCTGAGCAACACAATTTGAGATTTTGAAGGTGATTTTTGTCTTTGAGAGAAGCACTTTTTGCTTGCGAGCTGTCCAACACCCTTTCCAGCTTGCACAATACTAACTGTCTGATAAAGAATACACTAGATTCGTTAGTTAAATAGCTATTTTTATACCCATAATTTAATTAAATTATCTTTTCAAGTATGCACAAATAGTTAGTTCATGGAACAATTTTAAATACCGATTAATACACAACACAAACCTAAGTTCCGTGAGTGTTCCCAACTCCTTAACAGTAGATGATTTCGGCATAGCTTCCTCCGAAGGCATAATGAACTCGAGATACTGTAGTTTGTTCATCCTTCCCAATCCTGGTGGAAGATGGGTCAGCCCAGAATCTTGAGTAACAAGAAAACATATACAGTGCAACTTCGTTACGCATGAGGGAAGATTATAGAGGTTCACGCACTTAGAAACATCAAGAGTCCTCAGATTTTTGAGGTTTTCGATGGTTTCAGGCAGCTCCCTTATAGGAGTATTAGACAGGTTTAGGTATCTGAGGAGCTTAAGGGAACCCAGGGAGTCAGGCAAGCTTGAAACATTAGTGTTTTCAAGCATTAGTGTCCTTAGACGACGAAGATGATTGAAAAGGTCATTATCAATTTTACAAATGAACTTATCAAAGATGAGAAGAGTCCTCAACGATACTTGTTCTTCTAGGTTTTTTGGGAGGATGTTCATAGTTTCGACGCCGCCACCAACAAAAGAAAGACGTCGTAGCTTCATCGTCCTTCCAATGAATCTATTGTTTAAAATTTCTTCCCCGGTAGCTACAAGGCTCTCATTTTGCATTAGAAACTGAGTGAGTGTGTAAACAAGGTCATGCATTCTAAGCCAGATGGGGTCGTCTGGCTTGACCATTAGGAGGTTTCTCTGTAATAGTATCCAAATATAACTATTTGCAAGCTCGTGCAATGCCGCAAGCTCGTGCAATGCCGCGTTCGGGTTTTCTTTGATGAGCCCTTCCTCGATCCATAGGTTTCGAGCGTCCATCATATAAAAATAATTGCCTTTAGGAAACAAGGAACAATACAAGAAACATTGCTTGATATTCGAAGGCAAGTTTTGGTAACTTATGTATAAAGCCGAGTGGATTTCCTTAGGCAGCCCATTCACCTCCCACGCGCTGCTCTTGAGAACCAACTCCCAGGCTTCTGTTGTTCTCCTCTCCGCGGACAGCATTCCACCGATGATATTGATCGCTAGCGGCAGTCCATCACATTTTTTGACAAGCTCCATTCCAATAGCTCTGAGATTCCATACATCATCCTTTGCTTCCTGCTGCTGCCATTCAGGGAAAGCTGACTTGCAGAGCAGTGACCATCCATCTTCCAGAGACAGAGGCTCCACTTGAACGGCATGTATTGCCATCATCTGATGCGCTACCTCTTTGTTTCTCGTGGTGACCAGAACCCTACTTCCTTTCGCGGCGCCACTCTTGAGCAAGCTTCTCAACACGCGCTTCCACAGTCTCTCAGTCTCCCACACGTCATCCAACACCATGAATAGCCTTTTGCCTTGTAGGCTAACCTTAACCTTCTCACTGAGCAAGTTTAGATTGTTACAGTGCTCATCGTCTCCACCAGCAGACCTCATGATGCTTCTCAATATATCAATCAGATCATAATTCTGGGACACACAGACCCAAATCGTAAGCTCAAAGCAGTTTTTGATCGTGCGATCATCAAATACTAATTTAGCTCGGGTGGTTTTGCCAATCCCTCCCATCCCAACGATGGCGCACACAAGAGGATTGTCACGGTCATCATGTTTAGTCAACGTCTCAACTAAGCGCCAAACATCCTTATGTATTTCAAGGCCCACTATATCTGTACGAACCACCGAAGAATGGGTCATGCGAGCAGCCAACTGATTGGGTGGTGCTTGGTTAGGATCAATGGTTGAGAAGGTTCTGATAAGCTGTAATCTGGGTATTTGGACCATGATTTCTTTCAACCTGCTATTAAGCTCTGCAATCTGGACACCAATGGTATGTTTGGATGCAGGCTTCTTGAAGGGATGCAGGATAGAGCGGCATACCTCTTTATACGACCGGCGATGGGTAGGAGTCGACGAAGAGCTGGAATCGTCGTGGGCGCCGCTTCTTGGGAGGTCGAGGACATGATAGTCGTCGAGCACATCCTCGATGTCGTACATGACATCCTTGATTAGGTTGATCCATCGATTTATGGAAGCATCCTCGATTCTCTTCTTCTCAGCGTCTTGGAGAAAGCACTGAAGCTCTTCGAGGGTGAGCTGAAGCTTGTTCACATCGCCCACCAAACCCATCTGCATCGTTAACTCATCCTTTGTCATTTGGAACAGCATCTCCAGCAGCTTGGAAAGCAGGAAGTCGGCCATCATTGCCATCTTCTTCTTCCTTTGGTTGAGCTCAGTCTCTCCAGTCTGATAACCGGTTTTCTTTTTAAAGAGGCATCAAAAGGGTTCCCTGGTGCAAGGAATCAGGGAATAAAATTTGTGCGGCCCTAATTTTTTTGGATAAATAATATTGGAAAAGTAGCCATAAATTTTAACTGGCGTAAAGGATTTCGCTTATTCACGTGCGATGCCATTATTGCTCTCAATAATTTGCTGTAATATTTAAAAAATGGACGTTCGCTTTTTTTTTTTTTCACAAATATACCAAATAGAGCTGTGAAGACAGGCTCGTTGTTCGCGAACAACATGCGTTCAGCTCGTTAAACAGCTCGTGATCGGCTCGTTCGCTGAGCTAACGAGTCGTTTTGGCTCGAAATACTATTAATCAATTTTATATATATTTGTAGGTCTTTGTTTGGGTCTCAGCCTTAAACCTACGAGGGATTGATGTTCCTCTTGTGAACTCTTTAATCCAGGCCACAAGAGAAAGCAGATATTGCAATCTATCAATTCATAGTTTGTTGGTTCATATGGATGGTTCATAATTCTAGAGAACATGAAGGTGGGTGTGTTAAGGGGGAGAATGTGACTTTCAATATCATTGCTTATATACACAGAATCCATAAAATGTCCACGGTGAAGAGCAAATTTTTTTCGGGTATACCTTATTTTAATGCCTTGGGATCTTCCTCTTCTATTGAGGACAGGTATACGCAACTCTCTATTTTGATGAGATGACTGCCTCCCCCTAGAGAATGCGTGAAATTTAACACAGATGGAAGTTGAAAATTTGATAATGTTGGTATTGGTGGTATTGCTAGGGATGAAGGTGGTAAATGTCTTATATTCTTCTCATCCCCTTCGGTGACTGTAGCTCCTCTGGAATCTGAGGTTCATGCGGCTTTCATGGCTGTCTCGATTGTTATCCGGCTGGGATGGCATCAAATTTTGATTGAATCTGATTGTAGGGTTATAGTTGACATTTTTAGTGGAAACATAGAAGTGCCGTTGGAAATTTTATATTATTTTAAGCGTATCAAATGCATCTCATCTGCCATTTCAATTTGTTGGAGCTTCATTCACAGAGAGGGTAATAGCTCGGCAAATTGGCTTGCCATTGCTAGGGTCACTGGTAGCAATATAATGGTGGGGACTACACCTACAGCTTTGCGTACCCTGTTGGTGGGGGACTTGTTGGATAGCCTGCTTGTTCGGGCTTAAGGGCTGACCATCTTGCTCTGTTTTTGGTGATATGGTTTTATTTTTTGTGGTATTGACCATCACAGATTTTGACCTCTTTAAATTTTTTTATTGTGTTGACATGTTTGTTTGGGTTGCTATATTTCTACTCAAAATCTCCTACCCAAAGACTTTAGCTTCCCTCTACTGTTTTTGTCTTCCCCACCCAATAGTTGGCTCTGTATGCTTGGTTTCCTTGTGCCAAAAAGGTCTTTCATTTCATTTGATTTGCAATTTTGGTTCAGAGTTATTGCAGGTTTCAACTTTTGGGAGCTGGTTTTGTGGTCCTGGATGCGTATTGTTTCAGACTCTCAGTGCTGATCATTGAGATAGACAAACACACTCTTTTGGGGTGCATACATATTTCTAGTATTTTGGGTCTCGAATTTTTTGCTTTTTGCTCTCTGAGGTGTAGTTTATTTTGGGGTATACTTTCTTTTATTGCCGATTGGTATAATCTTTTCTTGTTTTTTTGGGGTGAGTTGTACTGTGGTAGGATAACCCCCCTATGAGTGCGTATTGTAGTTATTTTCTTTTTTAGCCTGGGGGATGCTCTCCTACCCTTCATTTTGTACTCAATTTTATAATTAGCACGTAGGGAGTCAAATAACGCTCCTTCCCCTTAAAAAAAAAAAAAAAGAAAAGAAAATCTAACACTCAAATTTTAAATTTTACATTTCAACCGCTCAAATCTTTCCGATCACCTTCATATTTTAAAAGTGAAAAAAAAAAATCTTTCTTTTCATAAAGTGTTACGTATGTAAAAATTTCTAGGGTTAGATATGTAAAAATGTAGGAATTGAGTGGTATATCGCCATTTCCAATCTGCCTTTCACGTGGGCCCGTATTCTCATAGTACATTTACAGAAGGCTTTTTCCTGCATTTATATACGTACACAATATTTACGTATTTATATTTCCATCTCTTAAAACTCATATTTGATTCAAATCTTTAACATCACATTAAAAATATTGTTATTATTATTTTCTAAAACATAAAATATACATTTTTATGACAAGTTATTAAAAGTATAACTATCAATCAAAATTTTTTGAGTTAGAAATGTAGAAAAATAAATACTTTGTGGTATGTATATAAATTTACTTTTTTGTTTATTTGTTGGTGTGAGAAATTTATTTGTGTGTGAGTTGTGTCGGGGAAATCAATTAAATCAAAAGTACGTGCATACAAAATACAGAGTAGAAACCATCTAAGTCAAAACAAAAAGCAAACATTATGATAAATTTTCACATCTATTGGACATTTTTTCGCGCCCTCTCTCGTAAGTTACAAAGAAACGAAACAAGATTTCTCCACATTCATTCACATGGTTACTCACCTTCGCTTGCATTCGTCTCTCCCAAAATTCCTTCATCCTTGTCGCTCGTTCCCTGTTTCACTTCTAACCGTCCCTGTTCTGTCTGCTGACACTGTTCTTTCTGCTCGAACTTCACGGAAGGTAAAAATCTTACTCCAATCTAATCAAGTTTTCTTCTTACTCCAATCTCATCTTGTTTCTAGGTGCGGGCATGTTGAGGAGCGCTTGAATCTTTTCTAGATTAGCTTTTATGTCTTCTAGTGTTAGGGGTTAGCAAGTATCCCAAAAATTTACCCCTTGTTGCTTCAAATATACATTTCAAAGGATTTAATTCCATATTAAATCTTGAATGTAATGCAATACTAAAATTTGAGTGTTTTACTCACTGGTGTATTAAGATTCATGTGGGGGTACTGCACTAAGAGGAGGATGCAATACTATTAAGATTCATGTGGGGGTACTGCACTCCTAAAATGTACTCTGCTTCCTCCAACTTTTGCACCTCCTCTTGAATGGGTCATGCCAGCGTCATGGATAACCGTTTAATCTTCTGCTTCATGGGTCATCATTCAAGCTGTAACAGACAGCGTCAATCGACGTGCCTAACATTTCAACGGTCCTCCATGAGAAGACATCCTTACTTTCTTGAAGGGATAAGTAACTCCCTCTGTCCTGCATCAAAAACTTGACTTATCAGAAAACATTTACCTAGCTCTTTCTCAACAGCCAAGACTTCAAGGGTGGACTCGTTGATCTCAAGGTCACATTCCCTCGTGTTTTGAATGTCCAAGGGATCGTGTTCCACATTGCTTGTGGCTCGCAAGTGGCAGACTCGGGACTGTTTCAAGTCACCATTGACTATGATGAATTCACCGTCTCTAGGAATTTTGACAATGATGTGATAAGTGGAGACCACTGCCCTGAAATCATTCAGGAGCAGTTGGCTAAATAAACGTTACATGTCAGGGAGGGAATCCACCATGAGGAATCCTCTATTAGCATAAACTGCTTCTCATTTTTTTTTCCAAACTTACTCTGAGCCCAATCACCCCCAGCGCTTTCTTCCTTTCATTCGAGAAATCGTAAAGTGGTCTGGCTAGTGTAGTCATCTGATTGCCAATGAGACTTAGCTTGTCAAATACCTGCTTGAATAATACATTTATTGAGCTCCTTGTATTGATGAGGACACTTCCTACTTGATAACTATTAATTTTAGATGTTATCATAGAGATTTCCCTTCGGTGACAGATCCTCATCAGTGAAATAAATAAGCGGGTGGCTTCTGGATTTTGAGGCAAAGGTTGTGACGCAGAGTTCCCCTGTTTGTTGCCTCTTCTAGTTTACCCTCCTGGGTGGTTCACTTCCCCCAAATATTTCAGGCATGTATCCCGCGATGTGGATAGCATTAGAGCGAATGTGTCCGTGGGTCTTTCCCCCGCATAAGCTTTGCCCTGCCTCTAGGTCGATGCTATAGAGAGGCAGATTCTTTCAGCTTCCCTTTTTTTTATCAGCTCTTCAATCAGACTTTGGAAGTTTCTTCATTCCTTTGTGTCATGTCAGTGATCCCTGTTATACTTGTAGTATTTTCTACTTTCTTGGAGAAAGGCTTTGATTCTCATTGGTGGTGCTTTCTTCAAGAATTCCTTTTTTTTTTAATGGAATCCACTACTTTTGCCTTGGAAATCCTTAGTGGGGTTTCGCGGGGAAATCCGTGACTGCAATGGGATTGCTCTTGATAATGGAATGATCAATGGTATTAAGCCTTCATTTGTCTCCTATGATCCTCATGATGATGGGTCGAGTGGCTGTTGGGTTGGTTTTCATAGTGTGGGCGAATGATGGGTCGCTCATTCTATCTTGGTTGCCTCCTACTATTCTATGGGGACCTCTTTTGATGCCTTTGTTTGGCAAGTTCGAGGGCATTTTCCTAAGCAGTTATGTACATATTGGAAATCTCAAACAGCTTGTCTAGGCTCTACGGCTCCGTGAAGTCAAGGTCAAAGCTGAATCTCTTTGACCTTACTCCCTGTGTCAGCGCGGCCTATGCCATGTCAAGTTTCAAGCTTTCACATCCAACGCCTCACTCTGAAAACGTGCAATAAACTATCATAAGCTCTCATTGTCACCTATTTTTAGTTGCCATAATGATCAAACACTCATCTTTGGTCTCAAAGCGTTAGAAAACCGAGATAAAAAGTGCTTCTTAAATTCTGCAAAATAGGTGATCACTCCCGCAGGCAACCCGTCGAACTATCTTAGCGCAGATGACCACAATGTTGCTAAGAACAGCTTGCACTTGAAGGCATACCGAGCATCCTTTTTATACTCTCGGAACGAGCATCTTAAATTTCTCTAGTGGTTCAACTCTCAAGACATGCAGTGAGAAGGCATTCTCTGGTTGTTGTGGTACCTCGGTCCGCACCAATCGATTCCTTTCGTTAGGGGTGGATCAGACACTATCTTAATATAACCCAGCATCA